GTTGTATTAGTACCTATTTCCAAGGGTTGTTATGAGAATTAAATGGATTAATTCATGTAAAACACTTAGAAAAGTGCCTGGCATATAGTACTTGCTCACTAAAATTTTGTCTAGTGTTGATTGAATGAATTATTTCATGTTATTCAAGGCAGAAGGAAAATATATATGAATTACCACATTATAACAAACTTGGCATCTATTTGAAGATTTATTTAGAATGTTTAGTTCCCTTGACTCATCCAAACTAGAGTTTCATGCTGGGAAAGAAAAGTTTTTATAATTAAAGAAAAATCTCATTTTTAAAAAAAATAGGAGTAGAGTTTCTAGGGGAACATATTGGCAATTAACTTTTATCATTTCTTATGTGTGTGTGAAATATATAATTCAAGCAAAATTATATAAGATATAAGTAGAATTTAAAGAAAAGCCCCTAAAAAGATAAAATTAATGCCTGTGTGCTTGCCACCCAATTTAAGAAATAGAACATTACTAATATTTTTAAAATTTCCTACCCCAGTGGCCTTCTTTCTCCTGTAGAGATAACCATTATCATAAACTTTGTACTAATTATTTTCTTGCTTCTTATGATTTTACCACAGATGAATGTAACTTTAAACATCATATTGCCTGATTCGCCAATTTTTCTGCTATAACACAAGTTACATTGATTTTGATTATTGATATATTTGGGTTCATGTCCAGCATCTTCTTTTGTTCTCCATTTGTCTTGCCTTTCCCACTCCTTTTCTTGCCTTCTTTTGTATTGCAATCTTTTTTTTTTTTTTTTCCTTTCCTTCTGTTTTTCCCCTTCCACTAATTTGGAAGTTGTCTATTAAAATTTGGCATGTGTACTTAACAAAGTACAAAGTTAATCAATATTTTTCCCTCCTTCTCATCAACACAGGGACCTTGGAACACCCCTGCTTTGGGTTTCTTCGGAATTATGCAATTTCACACAAAAAGGATTCTTCACATCACAGTCAGTAGTTACAGCATTTGAAGTCTGGCTTGTTTAGTTCTTCTCTCTTGACAGTATAGTTGCCCTCTTCTTGGGAATAGCACAGAGAGCAAGAGTGTTACCATTATGATAAATGCAGTTCAATGGAGCTGAACAGCACCTTAGAGGTTATCTATAGTAATGTTTTTAAAACTTTTAGATTAAGCTCAATGATAAGAAATACCTTTTACCTCATAACCAATGAACACATAAGTATAGTATATGCAGTTCAGATGAAATTTTTATTAAGTAACTTTCCTTAGTCTATATAATGCGCTCGGAGTTACTCTGTTCTATTCTGTTGTTGTTAGGTGCCACCAAGTCTGTTGCAACTCATAGCAACCCTGTGTACAACAGAACAAAACACTGCCCGGTCCTATGCCATCCTCACAGTTATTGCTTGTTTGAGCCCGTCGTTGCAGCCGCTGTGTCAGTTTATCTCTTTGAGGGTCTTCCTCTTTTTTGCTGACCCTGTGCGTTACCAAGCATGATGTCCTTCTCCAGGGACTGGTCCCTCCTGATAACATGTCCAAAGTACATGAGACAAAGTCTTGCCTCCCTTACTCCTAAGGAGAATTCTGGCTGTACTTCTTCCAAGACAGATTTGTTTGTTCTTCTGATAGTCCATGGTATATTCAATATTATTCACCAACACCATGATTCAAATTCAAATGCATCAGTTCTTCTTCAGTCTTCCGTAGTCATTGTCCAGCTTTCACATGCATATGAGGCAATTGAAAATACCATTGCTTGGGTCAGGCGCACCTTCGTCCTCAAAGTGACATCTTTTTAACACTTTAAAGAGGTCTTTTGCAGCAGATTTGCCCGATGCAATATGTCATTTGATTTCTTGACTGCTGATTCCATGGGCACTGATTGTGGATCCAAGTAAAATGAAATCTTTGACAACTTCAATCTTTTCTTCATTTATTAGGATGTTGCTTATTGGTCCAGTTGTGAGGATTTTTGTTTTCCTTTTGTTAAGGTGTAATCCACACTGAAGGCTGTGGTCTTTGATCTTCATCAATAAGTGCTTCAAGTCCTCTTCACTTTTAGCAAGCAGGTTGTGTCATCTGATAATGCAGGTGGTTAATGAGTCTTCCTCCAATCCTGATGCCGTGTTCTTCTTCATGTAGTCCAGCTTCTCGGATTATTTGCTCAGTGCAGATTGAATAGATATGGTGAAAGGGTACAACCCTGATGCGTGGCTTTTCTGGTTTTAAACCATGCAATATCCACTTGTTTTGTTCGAACAGCTGCCTCTTGGTCTATGTACAGGTTCCCCATGAGCACAGTTAAGTGTTCTGGAATCCCCATTCTTCACAATGTTATCCACAATTTGTTATGACCCACACAGTTGAATGCCTCTGCATAGTCAATAAAACACAAGTAAACATCTTTCTGGTATTCTCTGCTTTCAGCCAAGATCCATCTGACTTCAGCAGTGATATCCCTCATTCCACATCCTTTTCTGAATCCAGCTTGAACTTCTGGAAGTTCCCTGTCAATGTACTGCTGCAGCCACTTTTTAATTACTTTCAGTGTAATTTTAACTGCATGTGATATTAATGATATTGTTCAATAATATCTGTATTCCATTGGATCACCTTTCTTTGGAATAGGCATGAATATAGATCCTTCCAGTCAACTCGCCAGGTCGCTGTCTTCCAAAAGTCTTAGCATAGATGAGTGAGCCCTTCCAGTGCTGCATCTGTTTGTTGAAACATCTCAGTTGGTATCCCATCAATTCCTGGAGCCTTGTTTTTCACCCATGTCTTCAGTGCAGCTTGGACTTCTTCCTTCAGTACCATCAGTTCTTGATTATATGCTGCCTCCTTAAATGGTTGAAAGTCGACCAATTCTTTTTGGTATGGTGACTTTGTATTCCTTCAGTCTTCTTTTGATGCTTCCTGTGTTGTTCAATTTTTTGCCCATAGAATCCTTCAATATTGCAACTCGAGGCTTGGATTTTTTCTTCAGTTCTTTCAGCATGAGAAATGCTGAGCATGTTCTTCCCTTTGGTTTTCTAACTCCAGGTCTTTACACATTTCATTATAATACTTTGCTTTGTCTTCTCATACTACCCTTTGAAATCTGTTCAGCTCTTTTACTTCATCATTTCTTCCTTTCACTTTAGTTACTCTCTGTTCAAGAGCAAGTTTTAGAGTCTCTTTTGACATCCATTTTGGTCTTATTTTTTCCTTTAGTCTTTTTAATGACTTTTTGCTTTCTTCATTATGATGTTCTTGATGTCATCCCACAATGTGCCTGGTCTTCGGTCATTAGTGTTCAATGCATCAAATCTATTCTTGAGATGGTCTCTAAATTCAAGTGGGATATACTTAAGGTTGTACTTTGGCTCTCATGGACTTGTTTTAATTTTCTTCAGCTTCAGTGTTCTATTCTATTTAATTAAAAGAAATTCCACTCTGAACCTCTTTAAATTGATTGCACACACACTAAAGGGCCCTGATCCACAGTTTGAAAAACCCAGACTTAGCCTAATATCACTTTATAGCTTAAGAAACTGAAGCCCAGAGCAATGACTTGGCTTTCCCAGAATTGAACAGTAAGTGGAAGAGTTAGGCCTCAGATCTCTAAGTCCAGTTCTTGATCTGCATGTGTCAGCCAGACCAAACAATACAGGATGGAGGAATAAAGGTAGCCAGTGATGAGCTGCAATTATGAAAAGGAGACTTAAGCCCTCCTGATATCTCCTAAACATCTAACTTTGCTAGAAACAAAGGACCTTATAATGAGACCACTTGATGAACCAGCAAAGGGTTGAGCACCACTTTCCATTACCTCTGACCCTCACAACCACCCTGGAAGGTAGGGATTATTATCCTTATTTTATAGATGAAGGAACAGAGGCTCAAAGAAGTAAAGTAATTTCCTTACTGTCATGGAGCTCATAAGGTGAGGAGCTGGGCATATCTCTCTCATCTCAAAGTTTATGAGGTTTCACTTTCCCACAGTGCTTCTTTATAGTTCTTGATTTGTCTTGCTTATTTTTACATGTCTCAGAAGGGAGATGGCTAGAGAATCAGAAAGAAACTATTGTTCATGTGTAATTGGAGAGTCTAAAAAGCACATTTCTAACCGTATTGTCATGAAAGAGATTTATTTCGTATATATATAGAGAGAGAGAACAGATTATTAAACAGATGGTCTGTGAATATGCCAAGAAGCATCAACATGGGCTTATGAAGAATGAATTTTTGAGCTTAGCTTTGACTTAGTTGAAAGACTAGGAGAATGCCACAGACACAATGTTTCTTATTTTTCAGGAAAGCATTTAGAAAATCTGATTTAGAGTACAGCAGAATGTAGGGTTAAGAGCATAAGGCCTAGAGTTTGAGAGCCCTCCCATATATTCCTGTGGAATTGGGCCTCAATTTTCTTATGTGTAAAATGTGAATAATGATTGTAAACAGCCTCTAATTCAGAGAATTAAAAGAGATAAATGATATGTAGTACTTAGTTAAAAATAAACAGTTGCTGCCAAGTTGATTCCGACTCATGGTGACCCCATGTGTGTCAGAGTAAAACTGCGCTCCACAGGATTCTCAATGGCTAATTTTTTCACCAGTAAATCACCAGGCCTTTCTTCCAAGGCACCTCTGAGTGGACTCCAACCTCCAACATTTTGGTTAGCAGCCGAGCATGTTAACCATATGCACCACCCAGAGACTCCTAATGCTTAGTAAGCAGGAGGTAAATAAGTAAGTTCTTAGTTATAAGGATGCCTGGGCAAACATAAGAAAGTGAAACAGAGTGTGATTTATAATCAAAGAGATTCCCAGCTGTTTGCCTGTAACACACCCTTGCCTCTAACATGCCCACGTCCCAAGCACTCAGATGAAGTTTGCTTTGCAGTTGTCAAAACAAATCCTTATTGTCCCTTGCTGCCACTGACTGAAGGGGGCAATGGGGACGGGACAGGCCCTTAAAAAGCAGCCTGAGGTCTCAGTGCCTGTTGCTTCCTTTTCTGTCCCTGCAGGAGCGTTCATTGTGTGTTGGACGCCGGGCCTGGTGGTCCTGCTGCTCGACGGCCTGAACTGCACGCAGTGCGGTGTGCAGCACGTGAAGAGGTGGTTCCTGCTGCTGGCGCTGCTCAACTCCATCATGAACCCCGTCATCTATTCGTACAAGGACGAGGACATGTACAGCACCATGAAGAAGATGATCTGCTGCTTCTCTCAGGAGAAGAACCCAGAGAGGCGCTCCTCTTGTATCCCATCTGGGGTCCACAGCAGGAGCGACATGGGCAGCCAGAATATGGAAGACAGTATTAGCCAAGGCACGATCTGCAAAAAGGACAATTCCTAAGCTGTGGACACCCCTCCGCCCACCCAGGCCTCCTCTGGGGAAAGAGCTGTTAAGAATGGTTACATGTCTCTAACAAAGCCCATGTACAGTGTTATTTGAGGTCTAATCGATCATTGCTAGATTAAAAAAAAAAATTAACATTGTTTAAAAGCATGGGCAATAAAGAGAGGACACAGTGCACTTAGAGAAAATGTGGAGAAAGGAGGAGACAGCAAAGTGGATTCCTGCTTGTTGCCCTATGAAGTGCTCAGAGCATCTGCCTGCCCCACGGTGCATTCTGGGCCCTGCCGTGCTCTTGTGGCCATTCTCTTGCGTCTCAAAAGGATGCTATTAAAGGGCTTAGGCCAAAATGAATAATACTGTTACTTGAGCCACTTTATATAGCTGCTTGTAAAGCTTATGTAGTTCTTTCTGCATGCATTTAAAAATTTTAAAAATGCTTCAGTGATACTTTTTTCATCAATGAAACCATGGCCAGTAGCTAGATATTCAGTAGGATTGAAGAATAACAGATGAGTAAAGCCTCCAAATTAAATCTGATTTTTAAGTGACAGGACATTCTGAGTAGCAAAGACTTACTTAAAAATAGCAATAAAAAAGTTAAGTGTCAAAAATCTTTTTTGAACTAAAAAAGGCCTTGATGTGGTCCTCTGAGTGTGTTCGTATATATGCACATGTATATTTATACAATTGGATTTTTTCTTATTTAAAGACACCAAGGGAAAAAAAAAAAAAACTCAAACCAGTTGCTGTTGAGCCCATTCCAACTCATGGTGAGCCCATGTGTGTCAGTAGAACTGTGCTCCACAGTGTTTTCAATGGCTGAGTTTTTGGAAGTCGATTGCCAGGCCTTTCTTCAAGGCACATCTAGGTGGATTCAAACCTCCAACCTTTTGGTTAGCAGCTAAGGATGTTAATCATTTGCACCACCCAGGGACTTCTGCAAGGACAGTAATGGTGAAATAAAGTCACTGGCCACCTGGACTTTCCAGTTCTAGACTGTAGATGTAGAAATGACCTGTTGTGCTTTAAAAGAAAAGAGAAAGAGTTGATTCATTTGAAAACAGGCACTTTTATACATCAGAGTAAAAGGTACGTCGACAAGTGGGCTGACTCCTTTCCATGTAAGAGCAAATGTGTGCCTGGCTCCAGTCTTTATTTCTAGTTACCTCCCAACTACTGGGGACTTGTTGCATTTAGTATATGGAATAATTTTCACATCTCATATTTTACCCAAGGTTATTGAATACACTTGAAGTGTTTATTTTACCCATGGCCCGAACTTAGATCTGGGTTGTGGTTTGAATTTTTCTCCCTCAAAGACCTAAATAGGTGACATGAAAAGCAAGTCAGTAAGATAAAAAATAATAATAACAATTTTTCATACATAGGTTACTGACCAAAAGTTTTCTAGGTAAAGCATTTAAAGTATATTCTAATTTTAAAATAAGAATAACTTCAAGGCAGATATTAAAATATTTATGTAGTTTGCTGCTGTCTATGAGGTTTTCAGCAAGCTACAGAAAAGAAAGAAAAGACTAAAATGGATGTCAAAAGAGACTCTGAAACTTGCTCTTGAACGTAGAGTAGCTCAAGTGAGCAAAGGAAATGATAAAGTAAAAGAACTTGTCATGGATTAAACTATGTCCTCCAAAAAACATGTGTATCCATTTGGCTGGGCCATGATTTCCAGTCTTACATGGTTGTCCTCCATTTTGTGATTGTAATTTTGTCAAAGAGGATTAGGGTGTGATTGTAACACCCTTACTAAGGTCGCATCCCTGATCCAATGTAAAGGGAGTTTCCCTGGGCTGTGGCCTGCACCACCTTTTATCTTACAAGAGATAAAAGAAAAGGGAAACAAGCAGAGAGTTGGGGACTTCATACCACCAAGAAAGAAGCACCTAGAGCAGAGTGCATCCTTTGGACCCAGGGTTCCTGCACAGAGAGGCTCCTAGATCAAGGGAAGATTGATGACACAGACCTTCCTCCAGAGCCGACAGAGAGAGAAAGCCTTCTCTTGGAGCTGACACCCTGAATTTGGACTTCTAGCCTACTAGGCTGTGAGAAAATAAATTTCTCTTTGTTAAAGCCATCCACTTGTGGTATTTCTGTTAGAGCAGCACTAGATGATTAAGACAGCTGAACAGAAGACTTCAAAGGGCAGCTCAAGAAGACAAAGTAAAGTATTGTAATGAAATGTGCAAAGACCTGGAGTTAGAAAACCAAAAGGGAAGAACATGCTCAGCATTTCTCAAGCTGAAAGAACTGAAGAAAAAATTC